AGCCCCGCCCCGTTCCCGAGGCCGAGTGCAGACGCGTCCCAAATGAGATCCCTCCAGGCCGCCAACCTCTGCCTTACACTCAGCAGCGCCATCGGCACCCTTGGGGCCCCACTGACGCCTCTAACAGGCTCTGCTCCTGGACCAGGAGTCAGACGGACACCGGGTCCGAACAGAGGTCCCCGCGCCTGTGCGGGAGGCCGCCGGAGCGCAGGAGCGCAGCGGGGCCCAGAGGTGCGGGCAGAGCCCTGTGCCCTCGGGGCCCCCCACGCGGCATCACACCCCTCCCCAGACTCTCAGGTGTTCCTTTGGGATTTATTGAAACAATTCACTTGTCTGCCCCAGAGTTCATTGTTAGTGTCTTTGGAGATCTCGAGACATCTTTAAAAATGTGTGTTCCATAAGGATAAGGAGCATGAATTTGTTATTCCAAGAACTAATATTCAGAGGAAAGTATGTTCTCTAAAATCCAAGTATCTTAATGCAATATAATTCTACGGTTCTTACTAGAAATGGTGGGGTTTTTTTTAATCGTTGAGGTATAATGAACGTAGACAAGTTTCAGGTGGATAACATGATTCAGTATTTGCATATACTGGGAAGTGACCACCACGGCGACTCTGGTTAGCATCCGTCACCACATACGGTCACAAAACGCTCTTTCTTGTGATGAGAACTTCTAAGATTTACTCCCTTAGGAACTTTCAAATATACAACAGTGTTATTACCTGTAGTCGCCACACCCTGAATTACTTCCCCTCGGCTTTAGTTTATACCTAGACGTTTGTGCCTTTTCATTCCTTCTACCCATTTCTCCCACCCCCCACTCAACTCTGGCAACCACCAGTCTATTCTATGTGCCTATGCGCTTGATTTTTTGTTTTTGCTTTGCTTTGTTTTTAGATTTCACATGTAGGGGTGCCTGAGGGGCTCAGTTGGTTAAGCGTCTGCCCTCGGCTCAGGTCATGATCCAGGGTCCTGGGATCGAGCCCCGCATCGGGCTCCCTGCTCCGAGGGAAGCCTGCTTCTCCCTCTCCCCCTGCTCCTCCCACCGTTTGTGCTCGCTCTCTGCCTCTGAAATAAAATCTTTTTTTTTTCTTTTAAAGATTTTATTTATTTGACAGAGAGAGAGAGAGCGAGAGAGGGAACACAAGCAGGGGGAGCGGGAGAGGGAGAAGCAGGCTTCCTGAGGAGCAGGGAGCCCGATGCGGGGCTCGATCCCAGGACGCTGGGATCATGACCTGAGCCAAAGGAAGACGCTTAACGACTGAGCCACCCAGGCGCCCCTCAAATAAAATTTAAAAAAAAAAAAAAAGATTCCACATATAAGGGGGATCATGCAGTATTTGACTTAGTTCACTTAACATCATGGCATATCAAGGTCCACGGCTGAATATTTCTGTGTGTGTGTGTGAGTGCAAGAGAGAGAGACAGACAACACATTTTATTTATCCACTAATGGATACTTGGGTCGTTTCTAAATCTTGGCTGTCTTGAATAGTACTATGAACATGGTCGGGTGTAGATATGTTCAAATTAGTGTTTTTGTTTTCCTCGGATATGTACCTGGAAGTGCAAATGCTGGTCATAGGGTAGCTCTATTTTTAACTGTTTGAGGAACCTCCGTACTGTTTTCCAAAGTGGCTGCACCAGCTTGCTTTCCCACCAGCAGTGTATGAGGGTTCCTTTTTCTCCGCATCCTTGCCAACATCTGTTGTTTTCATGTTTTCTATTTTTAGCCATTCCAACAGGTGTGAGGTGATAGATCGTCGTTTTGATTTGCATTTCCCTGATGAGTGATGTTGAGCATCTTTTCATGTGTCTACTGGTCGTCTGGATGTCATCTTCGGAGAAATGTCTGCTCCTGTCTTCCCATTTTTAATCCAATTGACTTGTTACCATGAAGCTGTAGGAATTATTTTGAATATTAGCCCCTTATCAGATATACGATTTACGGATGTTTTCTACTATTTAGCAGGTTTCCATTTCATCGTGTTGATGGCTTCCTTTTGGTGAGCGTTAAGATTTTTAGTTTGGTGTAGTCCTACTGGTTTATTTTTTGCTTTTGTTGCTTTTGCATTTGGTGTCAAGTCCAAAAAACCATCACCAAGATCAGTGTCAGGGAGGCCACTGCCCATTTTTTTCTAGTTTATGGTTTCAGGTCTTAAATTCATTGTTGGGTGGTTTTAACAATTTTTTTGAAGATTTTTATCTTATTTTAAAGATTTATTTTAGGGATGCCTGGGTGGCTCAGTCAGTTAAGCATCTGCCTTTGGCTCAGGTCATGATCCTGGGGTCCCGGGATCGAGCCCCATGTCGGGCTCCCTGCTTTGTGGGGAGCCTGCTTCTCCCTCTCCTTCTTCCCCTTCCCTCACTTGTGCTCTCTCAAATAAATAAAATCTTTTTTAAAAAATTACTTTAGCATGCAAGCAGGGGCAGAGGGAGAGGGAGAAAGAATCTCAAGCAGACTTTCCGCTGAGTGCAGAACCTGATGCAGGGCTCCATCTCATGACCCTGAGGATCATGATCTGAGCCCAAATGAAGAGCCGGCCACTCCAGCACCCCAAGATTTTAAAGCCATCTCTATGCCCCATGTGGGGCTTGAACTCTCAACCCCGAGATCAAGAATCACATGCGCCACCCACAGAGCCAGCCAGGCGCCCTGCATCGTGCTCTGCGGTAGCACAGGGGTCCAGATCTCCGCAATAGACAGTCCTCCCCACCACGGGCTCTGGCCGCCTTTCTCGTTGGGTCATTGACCGTGTGCGCATGGGTTTATTCTGGCTCTACGCGGTTTCTTCACCGTCAAGCTCCAGAGTTTTCACTTCGTGATTACTCTCCCATGGGGAGGCCTCCTGCTCTTCGTCACACCTTTACCCACTCACTCCAGCATCCACGATTCGGCAGCTGTGTTTGCCTGATGGTCAGTCGTCCCGTCAGCCCCTCTGTACGCAGCTGGAGTTATGAGGAAGAACTGTGCCTTTCTCCCATCTGATGTCAGCGTGGACTCGGGGATGCCCGCGAGTCTCTGGGTCAACGTCCATCACTGTAGCGGCTTTGCTCTTTGCCTGTCCCACTTTGGGCCACTGTGGGTTACTTCACCTTGGCTTTTGAGCCCTTCCTGACTCCCGCCCCTTGTCCTGGAATCACTGAATAGCATGAGGAACCAGATCCAGGGCCAGCCAGCCTTCTGTTGACTTGGCATTGCTCGTTAGGCCCTGTGGACAAAGCTAGAAACCTTCGTAGTATGGATGGCCGTGATTGTCTAGGTGTTTAAAACTGTGAGCTAATGCAGAAACCCCCAGTGACAATCCACCACTGGCTCTGGCCCACCCTCTACTCCTTTTGCTTTGTCCACCTCCCCTGCCCCACCAGCGTGCCCTCCTTTACTTGTAATGTTTCCCTACTTGCGTTGCATTTTGAATTCCCGTGAAAACATTGGCTTCGATTATGGATTTTGGCTTCGAAGCATTGCTGTGGTTCTGAGTCCATCATGAAAAGGGCACACGCCTTCCTTCTCCTGCCTACTTCCCACGCCCCCTAGCTGCCACTCCCCACCCCTGGCGGCAGCCAGTCTCCCACATTCCTGTATTCGGGGTTTCTTTTTCCACAAGTGAGCAGTTGTGTTCTTTGGCTCTTTTTTGCAATGATAGCACACCATGTATATTCTTTTTTCAAATACTTTATTTTGTTCACCAGTCTGCAGTTTGGGCAGCTCGCCTGATACTGGAAAGCCCATACGGAAGCTGGACCGCCTTCCCCAGGTAGGCCTCTCCCCTCGGCACTAGAAATCCCTAGTACATGCAGCGGGCGGAGCAGGCCGGTCCTGGGGAGGAACGGATGGGAAGACCGACCAATCAGAAACGTGGTGGCCACTCTAAGCTGCCTGCCACCAACTCCAGTTCCTGTTTGTTGGGAAACCAGTACACCTCAGAAATCCCCAGCCATCTGTTGAACCCTCGTGGTCGTTTTAAGAAGCCGCACTGGGCTCCAGCAAGGGAGCGCCACAGTGCAGTCACCACCCGCCTGCACACGGGACCACACTGCTTTCAAGTGTCTCCAACTCGACCCACGTTTATCTTCAGGGTAGATCCCTACAAGTGCGTCCTAGGTGAGAAGGAACGAGCAGGTGGTTTTCCAGGTGATGCCTGATTTTCCTCCAGAGCCCCACCAGAGTCTGCAGGTGTCTGGATCAGGAAGCTGCATTCAGAAGCGCAACTACGTGTTTTACGTCATTTACCATAATCCAAACATGTAAACCTGCTATTCAGTGAATACAGTGAAAAGTACAAAGGGCTATTCGCAAAACCTCTACAGCGCTATTATCCTACCCAAAAGGAAGACCACCACACACAGAGATCCATGCAAATACAGCACTTGAAAGAGTCAAATGTCCGTCTCCACGCTGAGTGTGAGGGGGGGCCTCTAGAAAGCCCAGGTCTCTCACAGAAGAGCACTTTCCTAACAGTTCTGGAGGACTTCCAGCCAGTTCTGCTCAGCTCAGTGCTCACTAATGCCACCAAGAGGGGGACAAAGGAACTGCCTTGCAGAGGGCCCCCAGTCGCCCAGGCGACGGTTCAGAAGGCACAGGGTAGTCCCTATGCGTGAGGGGTGCAGATCCCAAAGACGCCAGACCTGGCTCGGCCATGCAGAGTACAGCCCCCACCATCGGGGCCCTTGGGACAGAAGCAGCAAAGGAACGAGCCCCTTTGTTTCTGACAATAGGCAAATCCATCTACTGCAAGTCACAAGGGATTGGCTTGACCACAGCATGTCCACATGACTTGGATCTTTATCTTTTCTAGAGAAGTTACATGAATTCCGATGCCGTTCAACCAGCTTTCTCCCAATAAGGCAGCTGTCTGCTGCTAGGTCCAGAGTAATCATTTAAATATAAATGGAAATTTTAAAAACTTAGAATGTTATTTTAACACAACTGAATGAGGATGGAAACGTGAACAGATAACACAACGGGGTACACACAGGATGTCCAAGAGGCAGGCTTTAAAATATGCTGTCCCATAGGTAATGGTGACAACGAGGCCGACGCCTGGTTTAATCAAAAAGATTTTTGACATTTCATTTAAACCATATGTGACTACAGTCATCTCTGAAGGATTTGGCAAAGATTTATTTTTTTCTATTTCCAGTCTTTGGAAGTAGACACAGGTTTGCTTAGAATGAAGCTGATTCTAAGAGCACAAAAACCGAACACAAAGAGTAGGACTAAGTTCAGCAATCCAGAGAGCTAAGAGAGGAAAGATACTTAGCAGGTGCCCAGGACAGAAGACCACCTGCCCGGGCAGCTGTTAACACCCTGCAGGGCCCGCGGCTTCGTGCTGGAGCAGGACTGAGTCTGCATCTGCCCCTCGGATTCCGCCGCGTGACCGACTGCAGAGCTAAGCGCGGTCTTCAGTGACGACGACCTGCATCCGCTTAAACACAGTATTTCCTGGGACAGTGTGTAAGGCCACGAATAATTCATCTGGGGTAAACCCCTTACGTAGTCTTTTCAAATATAAAGTATTTTAAACTGAATAACTGGTTACAGATAATTTTTGTTAAAATACTACACGTCATATCTAGTGTTAAAATTATTTATACTTCGATATTTATAATATCCAAACAAATTTTACTACCAAATTATTACAGTAGATGTTAATCAGTAGGACATGCTTATTAATTGATCCCATAGGTAGGACTACAAGTTGGCATGGTTTTTTTTTAACTCTTCCATTCTACTCAATTAGGGACGCAGCATTTACAGAACAGACAGACCCATCAAGTGGCGCAGCTGCCCCAGCCCGAGGCGGCTCCTCGCCCCGCACCGCCTCCAGCTCCGACAGAAACCCCGCTGCAGGGCGAGAGCCGGCTTCCAACGCTTCATCAAAAGGTGCTGGTGGAAGTTGTCAGACGCCTTCCGATGTAGATCCTTCACAGAAAAAGCAATCAGCAGTTAGCGGAGACAGGGCCGCTCGGGCTTGGTTAGAGCTTCTGTGGTCGGGACTGGCTACCTTCAACCCGCTTTTAAGAACTCTGTGACGAATCTATCAAGTGCTTCATGATTTGTCATTACATATTTTATAATCTAATTCCGAAAAACCCCAGCTGTGCTCCATACCCATACAGAGGCGGCCACCAACCACCACAAATGCTCGCATGACACAGCCTGACTCTGCGTTCACGCAGTGACACGCTGCTGGGGAGCCGGCCACGGGGCACCACCACCCACCTCACCAAAGCCTTGGCGGAGTAACAAAGCCCTGCCCTCGGGCAGAAAAGAGCCCACAAATCCTGCTGGGGTGGACTTCATTCCAACCACCACAGGCAGCCCTGACGGGTCCGGGCCACCAGCAAGCTCCGAGTCTGGCAGGGAAAGGCAGGGATGCTAGGTGGGAGCGGGCTGCAGAAATTTACCCTGAAATGAAGGCCCAAGCCAGGCACTGAACCTGCACCAGGCCCTGCTCCCACGGAACCTAACTTGCTAGTTCTGGAAAAAATTCCAAGCCCGGCTGAGACACATGGGCCAGAATAAAGCTGGTGACTCCGAGCAGGAAAGGGGACAGGGTCTGGCCCCGGACCGTGGAGGACTTTCACATTGGACACTGACGTCCAGGAGCCTCTGGCCCATTGGGAAGCCACATCCCAGGCAGAGTTCCCAGAACGAGGGTCTGAAGCTCCGAGACTCCAAGGTGGGGGGCAGGGAAGGCAGCCTTGCGCTCACTTCCCGAACAGGGCTGGTGGGCCAGGAGGAACCTTGCAAGACCAGGAAGCGCCCACCTGCCCTACGACTTTGAACAGCCCCATTCACGGGATCTGGGAAAACGGAGGGCTGTCTCCTCCTGCTTCCCTCGGGGCCCTGGAGGCCAGCCTCCGTCAGATGCCCGTGAAGACAATCCGGTCTGTCCGGCAAGCTGCACGCACACAACACCGTGGCACACCATGACACACCACGACAGAGGCTGCGGGAAGCCCGGCCCACGGTACGAGATGCCAGAGACGCCTGGGGCTCGCTTCCCTGCGACTGGAACGGGGCTGCGCTGTGGGAGGTGTGGCGGGTCCCCGAGCCCAGCCAACTGCAGCGGGAGGGACAGTTTAGAGCATCCGTCCACAGGGCGAGAACGGAAGAAGTGAGCCTGGGGTCCGCGCCAACATGCGACGACCCAGACTGGAAGCCAGGCATCCAGGAAGCACCAGGCAGATGCGATCTCAGTGCGGCCAGCAAGGGGACCCGCACCCTCCCAGGGTCTGGTCCACATTCTGGGCCTTGTCCACATGCTCACGTTACCCAAGCTGACTTACGATCTGTAACTGAACAAGGGTTGACAAGTTCCCCGTACTCAGGACTATCGGGGCGCAGGCCACGCACGGCCTCACTCACCCCAACCCGATGGCCAGCAGGTGAGAGAGCAGCAGGGACGGGAGGAAGACTTTCAGGAACTCCGCGGAGAAGATGCCCCCCTTCTTCATGACGCTCGTGTTCCTCATGCTGAGCGTGGCCGTGCGCTTCGGGTGCTTGAACAGCAGCTCCCTGGGGAGGAAGACAAGCCAGTGAGCCGTCTGCTCGTCCAGGAAGCCCCCGCGCCACCGAAGACACTCACTTGGGGGGGATGTTTTCCGGCCGACTTGACCAATCCCAAATCCAGTCTGAGTTTTTCTTCAAGATGCTCTCGACTTCTTTCCTTCTCTCGATGTAATCTTCCTCAGACTACGACAGAACCGTGAACACTCAGCGCAGCCACGCCAAGCACCGCCCGTCCCCCCGCACACGCATCACCAGGCCGGTGTGGCCTCCGCTCACGTCCCTGCTTCCCAGACAGACGCGGGGCTGCCGACACGGTCCCTTAAGGAAGCAGTGAGGACACGGCGTCCACACGCAGATGCTGACCGCGGGGCGGGTTTTCAGATTAGACGACAATCTGCAGACCCCATGCGTCTGTGGCTACAGGATTGGCAGCCAAAGCCACAGTCTTTGGAAAAGGACAATTTCGTGTTCAGTGGGAGGGAAAGAACCGAAAACTCACACACCTGTGTTTTCAAGCTACAACTAAAACGCGTTAAGACAACACGATAATTATAGGGGACTTTAAAAAGGAGGATCACAGGTAGTTTTTTTTTTTTTTTTTTTTTTTAAAAAATTAACTTTTTCATTTAAAAAACTGAACCAGGGGCACCTGGGTGGCTCAGTCAGTTAAGCGTCTGCCTTCGGCTCAGGTCATGATCCCGGGGTCCTGGGATCGAGCCCCGCGTCGGGCTCCCTGCTCCCTGGTCAGCGGGAAGCCTGCTTCTCCCTCTCCCACTCCCCCTGCTTGTCTTCCCTCTCTCGCTGTGTGTCTCTGTCAAATAAATAAAATCATTTAAAAAAAAACTGAACCAGATTATGTAATTCCTTTTGAAAATCAGCAAAAGCTACTCTAGAATGCAGTAGACAAAATCAACCAGCTGCCCTGCAGCTACCATCGGGGCCCCTGGAGGGCCTGGGTGGGAGGGAGGCCCAGAGGGATCCAGCGCATCAGTGGTACCAACAAGACCTCGCTTCCTACGCGGTTTTTAAATACGGGAAAGAAGTTGTCAACTGTTCGTGTTCTCATCATCACTGAAAACACCCAAAGGAAACCTGGCCCGTGCATCCCAACGTGCGCCGGTCCGGTGGTCCTGGGGGGGCCAGGGCCTCAGAGCCCAGCACCGGAGGGCCCCAGGTTCTCAGAGACAGGCCTCCCTGACAACGGAACGTAGCCCCGGCGTGTAAGACCCAGGAAGCATTTGAGCACGTGGTAGGACGGTGGCCTCCGACTGAGTAAGTGGCCAGTCTGCTCCTAACACTGAGCCGCGCAAGCGCCATTAGCAAGCCAGAGGCTCTGGCAGCCAACTGCAGCGTGTCCACGCCACCCCCACACTTGGCAGAGCCCCCGAGGGGCTCCGTGCGTCACGCCAGGCTCTCCAGAACCCACTCACCGCCGACCGCTAGCCAAGACGGAGACCGGCCACAAAGTGGCTCCCAGGGACCCTCCCCACCGGCCACGGGGGCCCGTCCGGGCTGCAGGCCCCGCAACACGTGCTAAGCGGAGCCCGTACTTGCTGTGCTCAGCTCAGTGAGGCCTGCGGGGGGGATGCCCCCACCCCACAGCTTTAGAAAAAGCCAAGAGACCCCCGTACAAAAAACACACTTTTCCCTCCTCAGTCCCACCGGCCACGTTCACCATGTGGGCAGACCGGCACCTGCCGCAGCCCACCTGAGAGCTGTTTTTCTCTCCGATGCTGTGCGTGTCTATTTCCGAAGCTCGGGTCGTGTCTTGAGGGGTCTGTGAGCGAGGTGGGCTGGTAGGCACGCAGAAGGGAATGCGAGAAATCACGGGATGTTAACATGCTTTGTCGTGAGCAGCGAAGGCCCCCCGGGCCCGGGCCCGGCTCCTCAGCGAGGAGGCACGGGCGCCAGCACCCACGTCTCCCCTCCCACCATCCCTGCTCCCCTTTGGCCAAGCCTGGCGGGCGGAGGGGAGCCAGTCCCGGGGGGCGGGGGGTGGACTCGGCAGGCCCTTCTCACCGGCTCTGAGCTCCGAGGCCCAGCCCGAGGGCACCTGACCTTTGCTTTCTGACTCAGCTGCACCGTCGTCTGTAGCTCGCCAGGACGCGCCAGGGCAGAGGCACGGGGACTGGCTGCGCGCCACGTCCCCGCCGGCTTTTCCACACCCCAGGCCCCATCCCTCCCACCGGAGGGCCAGGCTCCCGCAAACCGGGGGGGCGGGGGGGGCACTCTGGGATTTGGCCCGCATGCAGGATGAACCAGCACCGGAACAGACGTGCTTATTTACCCACCTGTCACAGTGAGAGCTCTTCGAGCTACTCCGTCCAGACTCATGCTGGGCATCCAGCAGTATTTTTTCCAGGTCACCGTTATAAATAGAAACAGAGGCTGGAACGCTGCTCCCGTTCCCGTTATTGCTGAAGTGCAATTCCACCCAGGAGCCTGATGGAGACACAGAAGGGCACCGTTGGGATTTTCTGCCCACTGCGGAGCCTAGTCCTGACAGACAACCAGCCCGCCCTTCCATGTCTAAGAAGCGCCGGGGACACACAACAGGCCAACTCCTTGAAACTTGCCAAAACACACCCCTGGCGCCCATCTCCGGCAGGTGCATCCCAGTGGCTAGCCTGGCCTCACCCTCCCAGGGACCCAAGGCCGGCCCCTGGCACCCAGACACTCCTCTGCAGGTCTCCTGCCATTCCTGGACACCAGACAGGTGGTGCCTGGTAACCTGCTGGGCCAGCAGAGTCTAACAGACCGCAATGCTTTTCTCCCACTCAACTTCTAGAAGAAAAAGGGCATCAACAAGAGCTTAAGAGATTTAAGTTTTTTTAAAGGTTTATACTATCTCTTATCCACTTATTTCCACACCAGCGTCACATTCTGATCCTGAGGCCCCACAAAACTCGTCTGTGCTATTCTGTATTTACTTCCCTCCGAAGCCAGAAGAACGCACTCTGCCTAGAACAAAGGTAATTTCTCACTGACCGTGACTGACCGGAACAAGCCATTCCCCACGTATTCAATTAGCCACATCTTCACAGGAAGAAGTCAGCCTTCTTACTTGAACTGAAAATTGACAATTGCTATCCATCCCAAACTGCTTCTACCCAGATTTTGTGGATTCAGAGAGCTGTCTTGGCACCAGATCATCTGCTTACCAAAATAGAACCTAGCACCTACCGCCCCCGACCCACCACCACGCCCCCCAAGTGAAGCCTGCGTCTTCAGCGAGGCTGCTCTCTGGCTAGCCCACCGCCCGACCTCAACACTGCCCTGGGCGCACCGTGCTGCACGGCGGAAGCCTGCTTGCTAGGAGAGGGACCCCCCCTCACACACACGTCAGCAGCCCAGTCAGGGGCCCGGCAAGGACTGGTTGGGGAGCAGCAGCCGCCGGCTGTGCCTGCGTCTGGGGAGGCCGACAGGTGGGAGGCTCAGGAACAGTCCTGGCCCGTCCCGAAGGGTGGATGCGACCCTACACGCAGACATCCCGAGCTCACTGCCAGCAGCAGGCTTGGCACAGCTGGGGGGTGGGATCCAACCGCAACGCCCGATGGGGCTGGACTTGGGGGCCCGCCAAGTGCTCGTGGACGAGCACACCGCGTGTTGGGGCTGCGGCCCAGCATGCACCGGACGGCTCCGCCACCAGCTGTCCGTCCGTTAGGTACGTGGCAGCAACCACTGGTGCTTCCGACTGCTGGTAGGTTTTTTTAAGGCTGATTTATTTGCGAGACAGAGACAGCGTGCACCCGGAGGGACCCTGACCATGACCTGAGCTGAAACCAAGAGTCAGACGCCTAGCCAAGTGGGCCACCCCGGCGCCCCCATAACTGCTCATGTTTCATGGTGGCCACACTCTCGTTTCTGTCAACAGACCCAGGAGCAGGACTGCAGCCAAAAATAGTAGCACGCGTAGATTCAGTGGTACTAGGAAAGGCCTGCCCTCTGACACAGCTGAACCAAGGTATGGTCCTCCCAATAAACCCGTCTTTAAATTTAGCCATTCTGTGACGGTGTCTTGTGTGGTTTACTTTACATTTCTCTGAGTTCCAATGGAACTGGCCATCTTTTCCTATGTTTACTGGCCATTTGGACAGCATCTTTTTAAATTAGCTGTTCAAGGGGCGCCTGGGTGGCTCAGTCGGTTGAGCGTCCACTCTTGGTTTGGGCTCAGGTCATAATCTCAGGGTCCTTAGATCGAGCCCTGTGTCAGGCTCCATGCTCAGCGGAGAGTCTCCCTGAGATTCTCGCTCTCGCTCTGCCCCTCCACGCACTCTCTGAAAGAACTAATAAATTAGCTGTTCAAAAATCTTTTTTTTTTTTTTTTAAGATTTTTTTTTATTTATTTGACAGAGAGAGATACAGCGAGAGAGGGAACACAAGCAGCGGGAGTGGGAGAAGGAGAAGCAGGCTTCCCGCGGAGCAGGGAGCCTGATGCGGGGCTCGATCCCAGGACCCTGGGACCATGACCTGAGCCGAAGGCAGACGCTTAACGACTGAGCCACCCAGGCGCCCCTAGCTGTTCAAAAATCTTACTCTTTCTGTAGGAGTTCAATATTCAAGACACAAGCCTTTCTTCATCTGAACATGCTGCAAGTAACTTTCCCTGTGGCTTGCCTTTTCAGGTTTAAGGTCATGTTCTAATAGAAGTCTTCGATTTTAATTCAGTTTCTATTTCTTCCTACTCTGTAGCCACGGAGACCTGTCTGGTGGGGACCCTCACGCAGATCTGGGTTTAATGAGCCTGGGTTCAGTCTGTGCATGTGGTCCCAAACGGGTGAGGTTTTCCCTGCTGACAGCCAGCTGCCCGCGCTCACTGACCAGACTGCCCTTGCCCGCCCCCGTGCCGTGCACTTCCTGTCAGTAATCAAGCTGGCAACGTGTGCAGGTCTGTTTCCGAGCACAAGACAGACAGTTTCTGTTTTTGTCACAGGTCTATGTATTTCCAGCTCCATCTGTTAGAGGCCACTCTGGTGGCCTACGGCGGGACGGGCAGGGGGAAGGCGGCCTATACGGACAGAAATGCAGAGACCAGAGACACGCAATGAGCCATGTTCGTAGCTAACTGTCTTACAACTATCATGACCCAGAACTGCCCCTCTGCGGACACCAGCACGGCCCTGCACACCACCACGCGATCTCCAACACTGCGCAGGCAGCAGGGACGGAGCCCCCCACTCCGCTCCACCACGTGGGCCGAAGCACCAGCAGGCCTCCAGCTTCCCAGCACGCCAAGCGGGCATCTCTTCAGAGTCCTGACCTGCCCTCGGTTGTTGCTTGCATAGGTCACCATCAGAAAAAAGCAAATCAAAGACCCTGCCCCTCAGCTTCCCTCAGCCTCCCAGTTAGCTAACAAAACGATCACACAAGCTCTCTGGTTAGCACAAGACTTCTCTCCTTCGCGTCTCAAGTGCTTCACGCTGGCCCGGCCCGCACGAGGAGGCCCGGGCTGCACCCCCGCGGCACGCAGCGGCTGCAGGGGCCTCAGGCGTCCCACACCCCAGCGTCCCTGACACGGCGCCTGGCTCTCCACCACCACCCACCACCTCCGGTGCCACCCGGCCCCGAGGCATCATGATGAAAGCTCTGGCGCGGAGTCCGGGGCCACTGGGCCAGCTAGGAGACCAGCTCGGCACGGTTCCACCCTCCTAGGCTCCACCTGTCACCCAGACGCCGGGCCTGGCTCCACTTGTGACACGCAATGGGGGGGCGTCGTGCAGGGGTTCAGTCCCCCCGGCACCCAAGCCGGAGCGGGTCCGCACACGCAGTCCCAGCGCACGGCGGCTCTCGAGCAGCTGACGCGGCTGTCCGGGCCCCTCACGCTCCCACTGCAGACCACCCGTCAGGGGCCCTACGACACCTGGCCGGGGCGGTAACTCCCTAGGACGACTCACAGAACTCAGGAGGGCACTTTACGTCCACCTACCCGTTACCAGACAGAATACGACTCAGGAAGAGCCCACTGGGGAAGCCCCGCAGGACCGGCTGAGGAAGGCGGCTCGTTCAGCGCAACTGACCCTTGCTGTGTGAAGGTCTTCTAACCCATCTCCAGCCCCTCCATCCCTTGAGGGGGCTGTCCGCCCTCTTACCCCACCCCCCAAGTCACCTCACTACCAGACACCGTGTTCCAAAGGGGCCCCTCACAAAAGGGGCTCTTGATCAATAACCCACTAGTATCACTCAAGAAATTCCAAGGGTTTTTGGAGCTCTGTGCCAAGAAGGGAAAAAGATCACATACGAACATTTTTTTTAAGCAGATGTAACTGGAACACCTAGGGGCTCAGTCAGTGTGTGCAACTCTTGATCTCGGGGTTGTTGAGTTCACACTTCGTGCTGGGTGTAAAGATTACTTACAAATAAAATCTTCAAAAAAATTAAAAAATAAACATATAATTAACATGTAACACTATGAGATGCAGGTACGTATTTTCTGTTACATCACAAGAGCCAACTTAAGACTCCAATGAGACAAATTCATGTTTTTTAAAAATCACATCCTAAAAAGCCCTAAGCATCCTGAGAAAGTAAAAAATCCCATTCTGGACTGTCTATAGCTTTGAGTCCAAAAGCTGTATTCCAAGAATGATTTACCAGGACGAGTGTTTTATTATTAACCTGCAACAACTGAGCAGGAAGCGTACTTCCTGGCAAGGGAACACAGGGCTGGCTATTCCTCCAACTACATCACGCGAGCGTTAAAATCACTCATCTTTTTAAGCAATAAAGGTGGGGATGGAAAGGTGGGGATTAAGGTGGCTTTGCGACCTCAGAAAGCTTCCTCAGAATCACAACTTATCAAGTAACTTGGTATAATCAAAGAAATAGACCGTGGTGTTACAGACCCAAGGCAAGCCCTCCTTCCTAACTTCACGTCCCTCTCCATGCTGTCTCCCCCCCCACAGAGCAAGGCCACGTCCCATCTCTCCACAAGTTAGACACGAAGTGCCCAGCACAGCTCCTGCCTCCCCTGTGACAGAGGACAGCGACTTCCCTGGCCCCAGCGCCTGCTCCACATCCAGGCAAGTGTTTGTCTCCAGCCCCACAAGGAAGGCCACAACCCACTGCGTGGCCCTGGCGGGTGTGGAGAAGGCCCGCCCAGCGCTCTGAAAATTCTGGTCTGGAATGCTGATGCAGAATCCCAGCCCATGGATGTTTTGAAAAAGTTGTAATGGCGATGTTGGGCAGCCAGGGTGGGAGAGAGCACTGATGAGGGAAGCGGCAGGCATCCCAAGAAACTTCCGGACAGCAGGATGAAAGTCAACAGAGGGGTGCTGGTTCCGGAGCGGGCTTCTTCCCTGGGAGAGGTGGGTTTTATTTACGAAATTGCAGGTGCTAAAAGCTTTCTATAAACACAATCGTTATTTATAAGTAAATAAAACAGTGTTTTAGAAAATAATAACAAAAGCTTCTCAAGTTAGGTGAGACAGGAACAAGAGAGACCTGATGAACCCATAACTTTGAACTTCAGTGTCGAAACAGGGTGGAGCACTCAGGACCCCGGTTCCCAACGGGGTGGTTTTTCCTCCACCGGTGGTTCGGGAGGTGCACCAGGCCCCGGCCGTCAGAGATGTTGTCATTCAGGCTCCCGGCATCCCACTGGCCCTTCATCGTACAGGTCGCCTCCCCTCTTTTCCACTTAGCCTCTGGGCCGCACAGTGACCATCTGTGAGATGTGAGGGTTGGGTTGGGCTAGGATCTAGGTGGCTGAAACCCCTTCACTGTCCAACTTCTCGATCCTCCAATTTCCCTTCAAAAGAAATTCAGTTTTTCTCTTCAGACACCTCTGCCCACGGTGGGCTGCCTGCAACAACCAAACCGTGGGGCTGGCTGCAGAGAAAGCATGGAGGGGAGGGCGCGGTCTCGAAGCAAAGCGGCGGGCACCTTACTGAAGGCTGGCACTCACGAGCAGCTCGGCTTCATGCTCAGGGGTCCCGCGGGAAGTCAGTGGTGCAAGCCCCTCCCTGTGGTACGGACACCATCGGCACACAGCTCCCTCTCCCACCCGGACCGAGGCAGGTGTAGGTCTAAGGGGGATAGAAAAGCACACACAGTATCCTGCTAGACAACAGCTCAAACAGAATGGACCAGGGGGCAAAAAGGGACCAGTTCTGCTCTTGCCTCCTCAGGGAGGATGTTGTCTGCAGGCTGGGCTCACCCGGGCTTGCTCAGTACTTGGTTCAAACATAAACAAGAGGTAATCAAATCAGGACAGACGGGACAAGCACTGCCTCAGCCAGGAACCAGGCCCGGATTCACATTTCTCAGGGCAGCTGTCCGGCCCCACGTGGGGTGACGCAAGCGACTCCACCCACGAGGGCTGGGGCCGAGCCAGTGCCCTGCAGCACGTACACTCCAGAAGGGCCCAGAGGAGCCTCCACGCGAATTTCCACTCAGTATGTAACCATCTTTTTATAGAATACACAAAACACAGGAACAAATCTTTTAACTCGGAAGCTGGCAATTTTGTATGGCCAATGACTCAGCAGTTTGGGGTCAGTCAAGGAACGGAGATCTGAGCCCCCCTCAGGAGGACTCAGAACCACTGCAGAGACTAAATCCCAGGCTGTGAGTAAGATACAGTGCTGGGGAAGTAGCTTGATAATTAGAAAAAGGACGATCCTAAGGCAAAGAGTCCATACAACCGTATCTTACAGAAGAGACAGAAAATTTAAACCCTTAATGTGTTTATCTGTTTCAAAGAAAATCAGTCGATGTAGAATTTTAAAGAGCTTACAGAACTTTTAAAAAGTGGCTGGTTACACACAGCATGAGACTATGTCTTGCCCAGTAAAATCATGGTAAGGAACAAGAAAGATAATCAGCAGTTCACTAGATTTTTCTGAATAGAAGGATTTAACAGTCCTAATGAGCTGAAAAATTCACTCCCAAATATTTGAACAGCCCTCTCCAAAGCTTATTTACATGCTCCTTTTGCTTACTGAACTTCTGCTTCAGAGAATACAAAGGTCATGGGTCAGCGGGCTTCTCCCGGGCCCTGGGGATCACTCCAAGGGGCCGGGAGAACAAGGCCTGGGTAGCGGCCCTCCTGAGGCAAGACCCCAAAGCTGCCGCCCACTTGGCTGTGCAAGTGAGCAGCGCCCTTACAGTCTGGGCCCGGCTCTCTGAAATGCAAAGGAGGGTCTGCAGATCCACAAACTGCAGGCGCAGGGCGGAGGGCAAGCGCCTGCTCAGGAGCCCTGCATGGACTGGGAGGGTGTCCCTCTGCTTGTATTTTCCTTAACCCACAAATCAATTTCCAGCTCTGTTTGGAATGACCGGCTAGTACAAGTGGAACCTGAACTTAAAAAAAAAAAAAAAACCCTACTACCTGCCGATACCATTTCTTAAGCTGCTTATCTTACACTAAAGAGGTGGGTGGACCTGAGCCCCGTACCACGAGCAACCCCCTTCATCCTTTCCTTCCTCCCAAGGATGGCCTAACGGTCCCCACGGACAGAATGGTTTAAATCTGAGGACCACACGATTCAACCTGAACCACCCTGGCTTCTCGCTAAAACCAACACTGAAGTACCGGATAGGGAATAAAACACGGCCTTTAAGAAGCTATGCGGACACAGGGGGCTGGGACTTCAAGGCAGGACGGCCAGTCGCCGATCGGAATTTAGGCTTGTTGGTGGGATCCAACCTGCATCCCGGCCCGCGAGCCAACCCCCGACCGAACCCCACAACTCGGGTCTGGCCCGCCAAGCCTCCGGCCCGCGAGCC